CAAATGATGGCGGAAGAGCAGTGTTGCTACTTATTTGTAATTTGCAGAGTATTTGAATGAGAAATGTTAAATTTCTAAACTCATTTTACACGAGGGCATTTTGAATATAATTTCAACTGATTTATGAGCCCAGACAAGAAGTATATATGTCTAGATGGATCACTACCTTTCTTACCAATAAACTCTTAAAATTCTGTATTTTTATGAAAGGTGTAATGAAAATTAATGCCCTCTGTACTCAATACAACTAAGCTTTAAAAAAAACATGTATTGTTTTGTTTTAACCTGAATTGACTGAACAAAGTGGGGAGGAAGGAGAGTTATCAAGGTTAATACATCAAGCACTGAGTTGAAGCAGTTTGACTTTCTTTATGTTTATTGGTCAAAAAGATTCATGAACTAAAGATAGTTTAGTTGAGCCAAGATTAAGAACATTTAAATTCTAACTTAAGTAGGAGAGATTTCAGGATGCTGGTAATTGTCCCATTGACACCAACAGCACAGAAATTCTTAATTTTGATAGGAATATGTCCTGAATTCATGGCTGCTGTGATACAATTGGAAGTAAATATTTCTGTAAAGATTGGAGAAATAAAGCCGTCACTAACAATTCTGTTCTTTAAAAGGGAAGGCTTTTTACTATGAAAAACAGTATTCTATTACTTTTTCTGTATTCTTCAAGTTCATAATATAATTCTAAACAGTACATAGAAAAACATTACCAGTTGGATTTATACATTTACGGATGAACAGTTACTTTGATATTTTTGTAAGCATTTGCAAATGTAAAATTAAATTCGTAACATCTGCATTTTGAAACCTACAATAAAAATAGTACTACCCCATAAATAAATCACTACATAGTTATACTTTATATTGCTACATCTTAGTCTTTAAACATCATGGACATGCTGATATTAAAAAAAAAATGCCATGTACAAAATATTTTGCAAAACATCCAAAGAGGTGATATAGAATGCAAATACCTATGATGTAATTTTTTTATTCAAAAAGTTTCTAACTTAAAAACCATACATGTAAGTATACTAAATCAAGTGTTGTTTAGGTTTATTTGATAGAAGTTTCTGTAAATTGTATTTTATATTTCAGAATATATCATTGTACATTAAATGTGGGACTTCATAGATTTTTGTTACTGTAAGTGAAATAAACATTACAGAAAGTCTTGGCATGAATAGTTTTATAGGTTTTGATTAGAACATTAATCAAGTAATGTGGCAGTATGATCTGGGAAACATGGCCAGATCTTGCAAAACAAAAGATACTTCACTCACATTTTTAAAAAATACTATATTTTTATTGTTGTTTTCAATTAAGAAATTCTATGTGAGGCTCCATTATATATCTGCATCTTTTCAGGTTAAGGTAGCTTAACAATCATCTGATCACAACATGGATCGTTTTCAATTTTTGAAAGGGATGAACATATATGAAAGGTACTGCCAGTACCCAGGACTGGCTTGGTGATTCATATAGCTAAACATGCAAACCCATTTTCAAGTCTGAGAAATAGATTGCTCCTTCATCTGGGCCAGCAACTAAACTAAACCTTCAGGAATACTTCTGATTGTCTCCATTTGTTTATGAGGTATAAAGAGGATGTTTGATTTGTATGAAAGAAATAGAATAGCTTGTCAGGACAAGATAGAATTGCTTCACCAAGTATACAGAATTGTTTTCCTCTGCAAGTGCAGCTAGTTTTTTTTCCCGAATCAACCACATATTGATCCATCAGTTGCAGCAAGAATTGGCTGACCAGCTTGTCACCTGAGACTGGCATTGTGGGCTGAGAGTGACTAGCCTAAATCATCCAGCCAACCTTTGTGCCTAAGGCAGGACTAGACCTCATAGTCTCCTGGTTTCTAGCTTGGGGCCTTAATTACTAGATCAAACTCTATTGAAATTCAACAGCTTGAACTATTTGCTATAACTATTTACTTCATTCTTCTGAGTGGGTGTCCTGATTTTCTGTTACTATGTACGGTATTATTTTCTTTGCACCTTTTAGAGATCAGCAATTGGAGGAGGAAAGAAAGGAAGGAAGGAAGGAAGGGTAGACACTAATTCCGAGTCAATATTTCTTCCAGTATGGGGAGATAAGATATTGCATGTAGTCTGTCTGATATGCCTAGGGAAATCTGCAGGGTGTGGTGAAAAAAAAAATACCAAGATTGCACTTTTTGATGTGTCTTGCATGGGTGATATCCATAAAAAATGAGCAAAGCTTCAATTGCATCATTATAGCTGCCCACCCTCTTGGCCCCTTTTTCATTACATCCTGTGCTAGACATCCCTGGAGGTGCCTATGGTCATTGTCCACTGAGGTAACAGAAGGCTTGATTACAGAGGACTGGCCCCAAAGCAATCTTAATAGTTTTGCATTTATATGAGGTTCTGTGTTCTGCAAGTCTGGTAGATCTGAATATTAATGGTGGACAGGTTGAATCCTTTCTGTTTTATCATAGTCTTGCCAGTTAATTCAAAGGAGAAAGAAGAATGGACATGGTGGGGAAAGGCATATCACTTTTCAAAATCGGGATGAATCTCAAAATTTAATCCTTATACACTGTTTAGAGTTGGACAATTGGAGGAAGGAAATAAATTACATTCACATAGTTATTACAGCAGCTTAAAAGGAGAATTTCAGCATACATTCCACAATGATAAAAAGATATGCATGCCACTAAGAGACATTAAAAGAAGATCCTAAACAACTGATATATCTAGCAAAGAAAAAGAATACATGGAAGGTTCCCAAAATTAGGGTAGGTAATTCTGCATCACCTACAGGTCTAAAATTTGACTGAGAACCTGGCCCCTGCTGGCTGCCTCTCTGCAGAGATTAGTTAGTTAATGGACTTGAGGAAAGAAAAGCATCACCAGACTCCTTTTTAAAATTAGTGATATTAGTACAACATGAACAAATGAATGTATACACGGATCTGCAGACTTCATTTTGAGATTTTATTTTGGTCTGGTCAGTCTTACAGCCTCATTTTTCAGTCTAAGATACATGAAGACTAGAAACACTGAAAAGTTGAGATGTGTATTTCATGGGGTGGGATGGCAAGACAGGATAAAATAACGCATAAAGCCGTAACCGTATTTTTTGAAATGACGTTTTGGAATACGTGCTCTTTTCTTCAGTGAATGGATGGAAGTGAACATTTTTGCCCTTAAACAAAGAAGACATGCCAAAACAATTTTCACAATTAAAATCTGGCATAAAAGATAAATGTGGTGTTGGCTGAAGGTTTCCAGGCCATATGCTGGATGGAATGTTGATCCATCTCTGTTTTGATTCTTCGCATGCTTGGAACTGTAAAGGGTACACAACCAACCAATCCTCAGAAGATACAATAACAAAAGTGGAATGGATATTGGAGGTCTTTTAGTCCAATTGCCTGCTCAAGCAGGAGACCATTTACCATTTCAAGCAAATGGCTGTCCAGTCTCTTCTTAAAAGCCTCCAGAGATGGAGCACGTACAACTTCTAGAGGCAAGCAGTTGCACTGAACAGTTTGTGGAATTATCACGATCATTTCTCAGCATTATCACAGGAGTAATGCTTTTCTGTAAAGATATTTCTCCTTCGCTGGCCCTTACTAGCAAACGCAAGAATCTGAATATTGGTTTGACATTCCAGAGCTGCAAAATAAACCAATAAGACAGCATTCTTGTTGATCTGTGAGTAAAAAAAAAAAAGCAGATGGTAAATTTCTTCTTAAGATAGTAATCTGAGTTCAGGTGGTATAGTAAGGATTTTAGTATCTGAAAAAATCTCATCCATATGGATAGAAGGCCACCAGGACGAACCATAGTACGAACAGCCGGGCCTAGGTGGAAATTAGGCCCTTTCCCCGCCTTTCAAGATCATGGCATCCGGCCCACTCAATTCCTGGTAAATAGATGGGGAAAAAATGGAGATAGTGACAGATTTTATCTTCCTGGGCTCCAAGATCACCGCAGATGGGGACTGCAGCCAAGAAATTAAAAGACGCTTGCTCCTGGGGAAGAAAGCTATGGCAAATCTAGACAGCATACTAAAAAGCAGAGACATCACCCTGCCAACAAAAGCGTGTATAGTTCAGGCCATGGTTTTCCCAGTTGCAATGTATGGCTGGGAAAGTTGGACCATAAGAAAGGCTGAGCGCCAAAGAATGGAGGCCTTTGAACTCCGGTGCTGGAGAAGACACCTGCGAGTCCCTTGGACTGCAAGGCGATCCAACTGGTCAGTCCTAGAGGAGATCAACCCCGACTGCTCTTTAGAAGGCCAGATCCTGAAGTTGAAACTCAAGTACTTTGGCCACCTAAGGAGAAGGAAGGACTCACTGGAGAAGAGCCTAATGCTGGGAAAGATGGAGGGCAATAGAAGAAGGGGACGACAGAGAAGGAGGTGGCTGGATGGAGTCACTGAAGCAGTAGGTGTGAATTTGAATGGACTCCAGAAGATGGTAGAGGCCAGGAAGGCCTGGAGGAACGTTGTCCATGGGGTCGCGATGGGTCGGACAGGACTTCGCAACAACAACCCGCCTTTCACACTGCTCTTCTGCCAGAAAAGCCTCCGTGGGGGGGGGAAGCTGAGGAAAGCCCTCCAATGCTTTTGCTGGACAAGATAGCTTCTTACGGCGGGGGGGGGGAGGGAAGCCCACTACGACGACAGATAAGAAACCGTAGCTGTTCGCTGAGGGGAGCAAACACAGGCCGGCGAGAACGAAGCGATCATAATACCGCAAACGACGCTTTTACTCCCCTCAGGCCGCCGAGAGAGAGGAGGGGGCGGAGCTTAGCCAGAAAAAGCCGTCGGGCCCATGCGCACGCCCCTCCTCGCTTCCGGCGTTCTGGCGTTGCTTGCGGTTTTGTCCGTTAGGCTGCGCAAAGAGGGAAGGGGGCGGGGAAGGAAGCGGGGGTGGGGAGGGGGGCGTGTCGCCCGGCGCGCGCCGGAAACCTCGGGGGCCGTTTGACCGGCGGTCGCGAGGGCCAAGGAGGCGGGTGGGCGTGGCCCTCCTGCCCCCCGCCGGCCTCCCGTTGGTGGGTTGCTATGGCGACGGCGGGGACTCACCTGTCCTGAGCGGCTGAGGCTGCTGGCCAGGTTGTTCCCTCCTTGAAGTGGCCCTCCTCGAAGGGGGCGTCGGAGGGCCCTGAGTTCGTATCCTGCTGCCCTCCTCTCCCCTCGAGATGTGGGGGAAGGCTGTTGGACTCCCAGGAACGAGCGGCTGACGACGCTCCTCTTGTTCCCCTCTTACAATATTGAAAAAGAAAAAAAAAAGAGTACTAACCCATAGGCTGCATAGGGCTTTTTCAAAGGGGGGTGTGCAATCCTTTTTGGGGTGCTTTCCCCCCCCCTCCATTGCTAGGCTAGACATTTTCTCTGCTTGACCCTGTTTTAAGAGGACCCCTTCCTCTGCCCTCCTACCACCAGCTTTTTCTGTTTGGGGGGGGGGCAGCTTTTCATGCCAGAGGTGTGGATGGCACCGCTTGGTTTTGGATGGTGCAGCTGTTCCCACTAGCTCTCCGGAACTGGGCATGTTTGTGCTCTGTTGGGAAGGGGTGGCTCTTAATAGAAGGATCCAAAGGGTGTTTCTTTGTGTATAGCAATCGACTTCCTTTCGTAGTGCTTGCCCTTGATTGCAACCGTTGCATAGTTTTTGGTGCATCAAACCGGAGGTACTCCTGGTTTGCATATTCATTGGTTCCCCAAACGTGGTGGCCTTGGTATCCTTCAGAATCATGTCAGACACAACCCTCAAGGCGTCTGAAGCCTCTGGACCTCGGGCTGTAGTTACAGATCAAACTTCTTCTGGTCCTGTTGTTGAAGGCCCCACCGATTCCTCTTTTGGTGAGCACAATCTTAGCTTCACCACCACAGACCTCAGCCTGGTGGAGATGACGGAAATAGAATACACACAACTTCAGCATATACTCTATTCCCATATGGAGGCCCAGTCAAATGAAAACGAAGTGGAAAGTAGGTTAAACTCAAATTGCTTCTCAGCCAACAATGCTGCAAATCAGTCCCATTATTTGTCATCTAGTAGCAGTCAAGGTGGCTTCTCATCAAACAGCTCTGCAAACCAGTCTCTCTACCCCATTATCTGCCAGTCTGGCTTGACTTCTGACAGCAGTTTCACGGGACCTAATCAGTGTCTAGGGCATATTGACTTTCAAGAGCTAAGGATGATGTTGCTTAGTGAATCGAGCCTTCCACCAGGCCAAACTGAAAAAGCACCTAATGGGAGCTCCATAGATATCAACGGGCAAAATTTAGTAAAATTAAAATATAGTGAAACCTCGGGTGGGATAAATAAAGAAAATGTAGTTGCAGAAACTTTAGCAGCAGTTCCTGAATCCAGAGCCAAATCTGCAGTACGTGTTCGATTAGAAGACCGATTCAACAGTCTCCAGACTGAAATTCCCAGGTGCCAAGAAACTCAAGAAACTGGAGTAGCCCTTAACAAGTGTGTTTCATTTTTATTTTCTTTTAAAATATTACTCAGTTTTCTGGTGATATTGATTCATCAATAAAACCAGGGAATTGCTGAGGTTTGGACGCATATTTACTATATGTTAATTATGTATTATTTTTTTCTAGAAAGAAATTATCAGTACTATATTCAAGTTAATTATAATTGTATTTACCACCTGGTATACACATATAGCAAGGAACAATCATTCCAATTTTCAGCTCCCTTGGTTTTAAAAGTAAGGTAGTTATATTTAATTAAGGATGATTTTGAACTTCCATATGAATCCTTACCCCATATTAGTTTTGTGCTCTTGCTTTTAGAATAATGCAACCTTTTAGCTGAATCGCTCCTAAGAGATAGGAGCTTTGGATGCTCTTTAGGAATCTGAGCCTTTAGTTTCATGCACTTGCAGGTATCTCTTAACAAAAAACAGAAAAGTCAAAATGATGACATGCATGATGTAATGTCATTGTGCAAATTATGTAATTATGTAAATGCATTAATGATGCAAGTACATAATTTGCATCCTTTGTCTGATGATGTCATGACAAGTGTATTGTGGGTTTGCCTCCTTCCTACAGATGCCTATTCCTGCACTAAAAAGATTTCTGTGCCAATTTTGTCTGACCAGAAAACCAAGCAGGTTTAGACTAGTTTGTACTTGGATCCACCACCACAAAAGAAACTCCAAAGCTTCAAGTTAGATTGAGGATTAAAACTACATGCTGGAAAAAGGAATAGCAAATGACTTCCATGTTGCTTTCAAGACAACTGCATGGATTGTGAAGGTCAACTCAAGGTGCAATGAGTTCTGATTTCCAAGCATATGCACTTTCTACATATTTTCTATTAAAAGTTTAGATTGATACTCAAAATTTGTTACAAGATCATTGGCCTCCAATCTATATATGTTGAAATCAATAGTCCAATTATGGATCCTATAAATAATTAGACATACCGTAAATTACCAATGAATTATTTCACTACCAAATTTTCCTCATAAGAATATAGTATAGACTTTGTTCAAATTCTAAACTGGCTTTATTTATGGCTCCTATAAAAGTTACTCTTTTTATTCATTTTAATATACTGAGGGATGCATTTTGTTTGAGATAAACCCACCATAGTGCATTTCAAGTCAGTCCTGTTATAAATTATTATTGCTATCATATCCCAGAATTATTTTTCTGGATTTGTTATTCACCATCCAGAACCTAGTAATTTGGGCAGGATACCACAGTACAAAAAAAAAAAGAATTAAAAACCTACTCTTTGTCTCCCCAAGATAGCTTGTTCCTAGTTATCTGTTTAACTGAATTGATTGGACTAGTTGAGGAAATAACCTCTTCATATTGACCTGTTGTACATTGAATGACTTTGTTTATGAAATAAATGACACAGGCATCAAACTTTGATTTTTTTCCTTTCAACTCAGACTCTATACATCATAATACTCACATGAAGTTCTCATAACATGTAGTGACAAGGCTATGGGGGGGGGGGGGTAGGGAAATCAAAATCTGAAAAAAGTGGGAACACTTGAAAACTAGCTTGGAATTATATAGGAAATCTTACCTGCTCAAGCACTGAAAAACTAAGGTATTATGTATGCAGATGTTGATAAAAAAAATCTCTACTGCACTTCATTATTATTTCAAAAAGTTAAAGCAAGTGTGTTTCTTTGGATTTAAAAAAATTATCTGTTAAATACCTAGTCTGGTATATGGTTGATGTACGCTTGACTAGCATTCTGAAGTGACTATTATTGTAAAAAATTATGGATTCATTTCAAGTAAGCTCCATTCTTTTATTGATCTCATTCATAGTTTAGTAACCCTCATTCGCCATCCTTCAGAAGCAATGGGTGTACCTCTCCACCAGCAGCAGAACAAATGTACTACTTTAGTGAAAAACAGGACTGCTGCCACTGCAACGGCCGCATTGCAATTTACATGTCCAGTCTTTACAGCAAACACTGTTTCTCCTGCAACTGGAAGCACTAATGCTGCACAAGCACAGGTTTGTATGTTCACTTTGTTCCTGCTTTGATATTTCAGCTGACGCTTTACAGATCTCTGGAAAAAGTAAGACAATAATAGGGATTTACACTCTTGAGTTTTGAATCATATAGGCTTCTGCCACGTGTTGGATGTTATTTGATGGGAGTGGCAAATTTGGCCATGATCCAAAGAACAGCAAAACCAAATGGGAAATATTTGAGCAAAAAAACAAACAAAAAACAAAGCCTTCTCTTTTGCTTTGTATCTAATCCAATCTATTTTCTTGCTTTAATTTTACAATATTTACAAATTAAGGGGTTTTTTTTTCTCCTTCTTCCATGTAGAGCTCTGGAGCCAGTGTGGTAGAAGCAGTCAAACATCAAGACCTTGCGTTGCCTCGAGCTTTTTCTGTATGTTACCAGCAAGAAATTGAAACTAGCAAACAAACAGTTGGTGCCAGAAATAAAGCTGTACCTGAACATGTTTGGATTAAATTGGGAGGTACATGGTGACATTGTTTCTCAAGTTGCTATTAGCTTCTTAAGGATCTCGCCTTAAGAAAAGTATTCTTTTAACAGTATGTTTCAGGCAAATTGCTGACCCTGGGAATGTTGTGATATTAATGGATTTTACTGAATACACTGTTTCTTTTTTAGTGTTTTGTTTGTACAGTGCTAAGAAAAAGCAACAGAAAATCTACTCAGACTTGAGCAAACTAAAACCTTTCTTTTTCCGAGAAGAAATTTAGGTCAGTTTGCCAGACTCTACAGCAAAGGTCCCCAACCTTTTGAGCACCAGGAACCGGTTCCGTGGAGAGAGGTTTTTCCGCGGACCGGAGGGGGTGTGGTTTCATGTAGTGCCTGCATCCCAAGGATGGAGCTTTGCTTGTATGTGCGGACCGGTTTCTGGCATGCTGTGGCCCGGTGCCAGTCCACAGACCGGGGGTTGGAGACCCCTGTTCTACAGCACTTTCTTCCATATGTACAGTAGATAGGTGTATATAGTACTGTGGTAGTCAGAAGCAACTGGGACCCTAAGGTTTAACTATTCTAAGGAGAAACTTCCTGACAGTTAGAACAATTAACCAGTGGAACAACCTGCCTCCAGAAGCGGTGAATGCTCCAACACTGGAAGTTTTTTTTATTATTTTTTAAAACAAGTTTTATTGGTTTTTTTCATTTTACAGACAAGTGCTTAAGAAACAACGTGGTGGCAGGGCAATCGATTATCCACACAACAAAGTCATACTCATAGAAACTTCCAGTGTTGGAGCGTTCACCGCTTCTGGAGGCAGTTTGTTCCACTGGTTAATTGTTCTAACTGTCAGGAAGTTTCTCCTTAGTTCTAGGTTGCTTTTCAACCATCGTTTTGATATACACGAACAATGGCAAAATAGGACTCCCTTTTCTTTTTCCTTTTGTGCACAGGAGAGGCTTTATGTAAGCAGTCAATAAATAGAAGAAGTCGTAGTCGTACCCATCCCTTGGATACCAACATACAGCGCAGACCTCTCGGTGACATTCAGAATGTGTGTGAGAATCAAAACGCTGTCCCAGCTCAGAGTTCGTGGCAAACAGTCCAGCCCTCCCAAAATACTCACAGTGGAAGCCAAGGCAGCATCTCCCAACGCCGGGAGAGGCACAACCGGATGGAAAGAGACAGAAGGTAATTGCTCTCGGTGGCTTCTTCAGTCAGGCGTTCTCTGCAGAAGTATTTCAAATTTCTTTTTGCGAGCCTTTTGAATCAAAAAGGATGTACACATAAACACAAATGATAAAGACTGCGTACACGTTCGAAATAATACATATCATAATTTAATACAGGGGTTCGATAATTCTGCAAGTCACGGTGCCAAGGATCGTAGCAGTTTGTAATAACACGCACTGATTTTCAGAAGGCATCTTTCTTACCTCGTGTTTTCTTTCGTTTGCATTGTTTTTTTTAAAAAAATATTTCTCTTTCCACATTCAAAGCAAATGAACTATGCAATGCAGACAGTATGATAGTGCAATATGAATTATAATATTGCAATCGTTCCTTTTTTACTTTCTTAGCAACACCTTTACAAAAGGGCAGAACAAGGCTAATGTTAGACCTACCATTAATGTGACAGAGTTTAATCAGTGTTTGTTACCACCCCCCTTCCTCCCCTCCCCCTCCTTCCTTTCCCCTTCCCCTCTGCCTTTTCCAGAGAGCTAGGTCATAACCCATTGTTTCAATGAAAAATCAAAGCAAAACTAAGCAAAATCAGTTTACTGCAAACAACAGGCAGCAATACTAGACCAACCTGGGATTTTCCAAAAATATCACCTGTATTTAAGGTTATGGTGGACTAGGTGTTCTGAGGTGTCATTAATTCACCAGTGCCTCTGGGTTCCCTTTGCTGAATTTCCCATGCTGAAAAGAGTTAGGGAGATTAGCAAAGTGGCAGAAGAGAGAATCCAGTATTATTATTATTCTTTTGCTCAGAGAGCATAATCTGACCAAGCGTAGGGTGGTTTTAGAATGACATAATTAAAGTATTAATTTTCATTTGTCAATCCCTTGAAGACTTACTGGTGATCTATTTTCGTAGCAGATGCTTTCCCTAATTTCATACTTTTATTTAAGAAGAATCTTTTGCACACTTCTATCAGCATATCACTTTTGCAGAACAGCAAAATAATATTTCCCAGGAATCAAGATGAAGAACAGATGAAGCGGTGCAAGAAATGAATGAGTTTGGGTGTTAGGGGCAAGGGGCAAGTTTAATTAAAAGGAGGATATTTAAATCTTTTTTAAAAAATGCTTAATATTGCGTAATAAACTTACAAACATGTTTGACTACTTATGTAATGTGGAGTTTGTACAGTCCTTGTTGGGACCAGAATTTCCATTGGTAAACAAGTGAGTCACGCCTGATTTTAAGACTTTTTTTTGCCATTGTTGTTAAGTGAGTCATTGCAGTTGTTAAATGAATCACACAGTTGTTAAGCGAATCCAGCGTCCCCCATTGAGTTTGTTTGTTGGAAGCCATCTAGGAAAGTTTGGAAATGGTATTCACACAATCCTAGGATGCTGCAATGATCATAATTATGTGCCAGTTATCAAGGGCATGGATTTTGATCGCATGACCGTGGGGGTGCTGCGATGGTCATAAGTGCGAGGACTGGCCGTAAATCACTTTTTTCAGTGGCATTATAGTTTTGAGTGGTCGCAAAATTGAGGACTACCTGTATAAAGCCTTTTCAGTTTCAAGAATTGACCATGATTATATCTATTTCTAGGCGCAGAATCAGGATTTGCTGTGATGAACTGAATCTTCTCGTTCCATTCTGCACTTCAGACACTGATAAGGCAACAACCTTACAATGGACAACAGCATTTCTAAAATATATTCAAGAGCGACATGGAGATTCTCTGAAAAAGGTCAGTAGCTTCACGTTAATATATAGAGCATTGTAGTAAGAAAGTTACAGCAATGCCTCACTGGGCCTTGAACAATATTTGATTATTCATAGGATCCTTTGTTTTGTTCTTTTCGTATTCCGTACATCTTCAACTGCTCAACCTATAAGTTGTATAAGGTATAGTATGTAAGCTAAACAGGTAGACACTAATATTAGCCCAATGAGTAACAGCCATCAATGTTTTTCTCATTATATAGGCTTGGATAAATCTTTTGGTAGCTGGGGAGATGATGTTCTGTGTATAGTGTAGTGCTTTATTACTATTATTTTACCCCAGCTATTTGGGAGTAGATTCTGTTCTTTTCCTAACTTTTAGAGTTTGCACACCACATGCTTCTTACATTAGAATGAGCGAAAACTGGCTGAAATTGTTAAAACGTTTGATTTATGTTCAGTGCTAGTTCTGTAGGATGCACACAGCCCTTCAGAGACATTCCTGCTAAAGGCCATTAGCACATCTTACAGCATTGAGATCCAGCATCTGTTTCCTTGAGCAGGAAATATTTTATCTAAGAAAGTCATGTGATTTAGCTGTTACAGCATGAATGTTTCATGTATTTAAAGGGGAAAATAGGAAGTTTGATACTACTACGTAAGTATCTGAACAACAGCAATACTACTACCTAAGTACACTGCTTTTTTAAAAAAAGTACACAGTGAAGTGTACTTCCTGACAGTGAGAACAATTAACCAGTGGAACAACCTGCCTCCAGAAGCAGTAAATGCTCCAACACTGGAAGTTTTTAAGAAGAGACTGGACAGCCATTTGTCCGAAATGGTGTAGGGTTTCCTGCCTGAGCAGGGGGTTGGATTAGATGACCTCTAAGGTCCCTTCCAACTTTACTATTATTATTATTATTATCATTACGTTTAAATGATATAAAAGATGACAGAAGTGATAGACACAATATAATCTAAAGAAACACATATATTTAAAAGCAAGCAGTATATTTAAAAGCAGTGCACCGTAATAAATACTTTATTTTGCCAATCAGCGCTCACTATATCGGCTTTTTCAGTTCTTTAAGAACCAAAATCAAGGTTTTAGAGCATTTCCAGAGATCAGAAGAAAACGTCATTAGGATACAATAGAATTCTGGTAAAATGGAAAACCAGACAGGATATTCTTTTTTAAGAAGGCAGACCAATTCTATTACCCTCCAGCTCTCTCATTTTAAGAAATTGGTATTATTGTACTTTGTATCAACTTTTCCCGTTGGTGTTCATGCTGTAAACTGTTTAGGATTACATTAAATTATAATTTTTGCAAACATACTCATGCATATCTCATATACAATTGGCTGAATCTGCACAAAATTCTCAGCCTGAAAGGATGCCAGTGACTGAGTTCACGCAACACACAGGTTCAAAATTAAACTAAAGCTTGGCTGAATTTGACTTTGTTTTGAGTAGATCATATTATACATAGAATAATACTGTGAAGCTGTGAAGCTAAGAGAGGTACCAAATATGAACTTTAGGTTCCAGACTAGAAGGACATGTCAATCAAAGGTTTCACCCTAGCATTGTGAAATCAGGTACCTAGTAAACAATAAGATACAATCAAATAATTATGGAGTACCCAATACTCATTTCATTCTTGAACTTACAGTATTAAGATGTTCCTAAAGTGAACCAGGCAGATAAGAAGCTAGGAAGCATATGTTTCCTTTAGTTGCAGGTTCTTTAGTTTTTGAACTATATTCAATAAGGCAGTGGTGGCGAACTTATGGCATGAGTGCCAGAGGCAGCACTCAGAGCCCTCTCTGTGAGCACGCGTGCTGTCGCCCCAGTCCTAGGCCTTCAGCTGGGTTTTATAAAACCTTTTCGCTTTAGGCCTCCACCACCATGTGCAAAAAAAAAAAAAAGGTTCAATCAGTCAATTTCAACTTCTCGCAGGAAAAAAAAAAGATCTTGCAAAGTTGGAATTGATTGATTGAACTTTTTAGTTCCACCCAGTCTGCCGTTACCACCGCAGCGTGCCCACCCAATGGGCCTCACCCCCCCAATTGGCCACACCCAGCCAATGGGCCACACCCACCCAGCACCCGACAATGCATAAGTGGGTTTTGGGTTGCAGTTTGGGCACTCGGTCTCTAAAAGGTTCACCATCACTGCAATCGGGCAAAAGAACAGGCATAATTTTAGTTCAGAGACTGGTGTAGTGGTGAAGACATCAGGCTAGAGAGTGGAGGGGGGGGGAGGACTGTAAGTTCTAATCTCACCTTAGGCACAAAATCAGCTGAGTGACCTTGGCCAGTAACTCTCTCTCAACCTTAGGAAAGAGGCAATGGCCAGCCAAAGTTGATCAGCTTCATGTTTTTGCAGCTGCTCCTTACATTCAGCAGTTCTACCAGACCTAAATAAAGTAGCTATCATCACTGTTATTAAAACAATTTGTATTGACCAAGTACATTGTATGTACTGGACCTTTAAAGACTGCAAACAGTTTTTAAGATAACCTTAGATTTCACTGTATTTACTGGCTTTAGGGATATCTATGTGCATAGAGTTGTTGAAATCTTTATTCATTCATCTTGGAATTGTTTTTTTGGGGGGGGGGGATTTTAGGAATTTGAAACTGTGTTCTGTGGTAAAACAGGCAGAAGACTAAAATTAACAAGATCAGATCCCATAGCAACCTGTGCAGCCCAGGAGATCACACAGAACAGTACATCTACGGACATGAAATAATATGAAAAGTGATCCACGATGTCAAAATCGAAATTCACCCACTGGACTTTTCTTATAACATGGTTGACAAGATATATATATATATATATATATATATATATATATATATATATATATATATATATATATATATATATATATATATATATATATGCACTGAAGAAATGACAAGTTTATTCAACACAAAGAAAAAAAGAACAAAACCAACAATGTTAATTTAGTAGAGTTTTTCATTTGTGGCAGGGCAAAAATAGCATTCAAGGCTAGTAAATGCCACACTCCATTCCATTTCTATTTTTGATTTTGTTTTATCAAAACATATAATAATTAAAACGCTATATATGCAGCAACCTGTTCTTTTCCCTCTTGAGCATGCTCATATTTATATAAATTAATAGAAATGCCACAAGAACCAGTTTTGCTATTGGAAGAAGAAATGTAATTAATTTATAAACTATATAAAAATGGTAATTGTATATAGTAACTCAGATTTTTCATTTGTCAAAGTTCATACCCTGTAAAATTAAAACCTATAGAAAAAGCTGTTCACTATGCGTTGCAAATACACTACTATTTTAAATATGTTTTGCACTTCCTTTAACAACTTCTCCTACAGGATGAAGGCTAGGATTATATTTTGCACAAACGTCCATAAATGGATAGAAAAAAATGCAGCTGTAAGTTCTGATGGAAGTCTCATTAACTTCTTTGGTGTTTTATGTGACAATTCCCATCCTTTTAGTGCAAAAGTGGTATTTTGTAAAAATACATGAATTTTAAGTGCAGATATTTTTTTCCTTTTTCCTTTTTTTTTCCTTTTCCTTTTTTAAAAGATAACTATTAGCTTTATATTTGTTAGGAAAGTATATTTAGCATATTTAATTGACAGTGGCTTTATCAGAACAGATAATGCTAATAAGTATTCTTGTACAGAACTTATCACAAAATAAATACTGTTTAAATCACGGATATTCACACCTGTGTGGCCCTTTATTTTCAATCACCAAAAGAAAAAGCAACAAAACAGAATCAGCCTATTATAAAATAGGCAGGCACAATATTAGAGTTTTTAAATTTATGTTTACAATAATCTGTACACTCAGTTTTGATGGCGTTTGTTTTCTGTATGTTGGGTTTTTATCAATACTTAATGTGGAAAGGGTATAATGCGTCATTAACTGAATATACTTTATAATAAGGGAGAAATGTTTAAATTCATTTCTTAAGAAACAGATGGCATGGACATTTTTTCCCTCATAAACCATGCATTTGAATTGGACATTTGCTAAGCATTCACATCACAGAGTGAGCTCTAACTATATCATGATATTACATTTGCAGAATCTGTTTCCAGTGCAGTTGTGGTCAACTCAACACCCACAAAAACGCAGATGGATGTCCAACGTGGCTTTTGATCCAATAGATTAAGCTGTTGTGGGCACAAAATCTTAGGGAGTGAATTTCAAGGGAATCTTTGAATTATGCACGTTTTATAAACGGTAGTTTTAATCATCCAGTTTGATTCAATTCGCCCATTTTACATTTGTGAATCCCAGACACCTTAGGGCAGTGTTTCCCAAACTTGACAATTTTAAGGCATGTGGACTTCAACTCCCAGAATTCCACAGCCAGCATTGCTGGCTGTGGAATTCTGGGAGTTGAAGTCCACATGCCTTAAAATTGTCAAGTTTGGGAAACACTGCCTTAGGGAGCTCTACAAAGTATCCCAATTCCTAGCCATTTAATGGGTCTACGTCTGTATTCTCTGTCTGAATCACCTGCCCAGGTATCTACAGTTGGACCATCTGACAAATAATACATGAAATGTTTACCTCTGTTATTTTACCAGTAGCAAAACAAGATTCATAAACATCGAACAGTGCCAAATGAAGTCATTGCAAAAGCAGGTAGAATCTTAGGAAGAAGGAAACTGTTAACTGGAAAATACTTCGGGAATAATAGTATGTCTCTTCAAAGAACCTATTTGGTTTATATTTTGCATGAAATCGGAATTAACTACAGGGGCCATTTTACATAAGTTGATTTTTTTCCCCCTCAAAGGAACTGAAATATAGCATCCATTTTATTCACTTCCCCCCCCCCTCCAATCAGGACAATGTTTCATTGTGTATGAACAATTCCATTATGGGGTCCTTGGTGCTCTCTGAGCTTGGTGGTTTTCTTGCAGACATTTCATTACCAGACTAGGTGATATCATCAACGCACTGAAGATGTCACCTAGTTTGGTAATGAAGCATCTGCAAGAAAACCACCAAGCTCAGAGAGCATCAAGGACCCTGCAGTTTCCACCCTGAGCTACAAATATTCTCTTCTGGTAACAATGCCATTGAATGTCGTGTTCCTTTTCCTCCTTTCATTCATTCCGCTTCAGGCAGATTTACGATTTCTTGAATTTCCCTCTAGCAGCAGCTCCCATACAGGCAGATGTATCGCAGAGTCCTGGAGTTCCTTGTGCTCCAGCTGAACCGGGTCTTCCAGGATCCCCTGGTAACCCAGGATCACCGGGTGCACCATTCCGACCATCTTTTCTAATTCCAGGAACACCTGGTGCTCCTTGGCAGGGGGAAAAACAAAGGGTTCAGCATGTTATTTGGCATATGTCCAAAGACAAAACCATCAGCTATGCAAACAAGCCCCATTTTTTTATTTGGTTTGGTTTTAAATCTTAAGTGCGTTCTCAGGGCCATTTTTCTTCCTCCATATCTAGACAATGATCTAGATTGCTGATTTCTTGATCTAGATCAGGGGTGTCAAACTGCCGGCCCACGGGCCGGATGTGTTATGGTGAAACTGCGCCCATCCCATTGTGCGACATGTCACGTGACGTTGCGAGTTTGACACCCCTGATCTAGATCAAGGGTCTCCAAACTTGGCAACTGTAAGACTTGTGGACTTCAATTCCCAGAAGTCTTCAGCCAGCCATGCTGGCAGGGGAATTCTGGGAGTCGAAGTCCACAAGTCTCAAAAATTGCCAGTTTGGAGACCGCTGCTCTAGATTGGTTGACATGGACCAACCTATCATTTTCAGCTCCTCTCAATTTCTCACCTTTGCAAATTGCCATTTGGTTCCTTAAGTTGGCTATTTCCCCCCCCCCCCTACATCTCACAACAAAATTTGAACATATTATGGTATGCTTTTCCCCAAACGAATATATGTTCATGTCCCAATTTTACCCGACACATCTAATTTGCACGAGAAATGTTATAAATCATTTCAATGTCTTAACGTTCATGAATATATGTAGACACGAAGCTCTATGTACCGGTATTTTAAAATTGTCCAGCTTCGTTACAAAATGTAGAGAACTGTGTATTTTGAATTATGGCTTAAGTTTTGGTTCACTTAAGGTGCCCCCTCCCATTAACGACTCAAAAATATTTTTTTTAGGTATTTATATGTATAGTAATAGAAACTGTTAAAGAAAAAAGCTAAAACTCTACAATATCCAGAGAAAACGTATTTAAAGCCCTTCTTAATTTATAACAAAAAGGTAAAGCCTCCAGAAAAAAACATGAACATCCAGCCTTGGTGGTTAGGAAAGTAGGAACCAATCGCCAGCATGTCCCAAAGATGCTTTTCAAGCTTCCACACCCATTTGCACTCTGATTCAAGTGATCCTGAGGGTACAGATAAATCCCCAAGTGGCCTCAATCACTCTCAGAGAGCTAATGGACAACCTTCAGAGTGCTAACAAGCAGAAGACTGGAAAGACTATAAATCTTTCTATTCCCCACCATTCAATTAGAACTGAAGAAGCTTCCTGGATGAGAAGTGAAACGTTTTCAAGGAAATCCCCCCCCCCCCAAAAAAGTCCAGTTGCCTTTTAAAAAGCACCTGTCATGCCTCCGTCGGAGCCTGAATCTGTGGAGGAAAATGAGCTGGAACAGGACCCTACGGAGGTCGAGGGAGAGGTGTCTGTGGTTTCAGAGGAATGTGGGGAAGAGCAGGCTGAGGCAGGCGAGGGACCTTCAGGAGTGGGACAGGAGAGACATCCCCACCTGATCTTAGAGCACGGAGAGTGGAGAGAAGGAGGGAACAATACGGCAGGCTCAACTACTCGGGAGGAGAGCATCCCATCTCTCTCCACAAAGCACACCTGGAGACTGAGATTTAAGGAGACGCTGTGGGGAGAGGCATTTGTCGGGAACAAACGCTGATTCCTTGGGAGTTTTGTGTGTGTTGTTGCTGATCTCTTGTTCTGACTATTGGACTGGCTGACAACGTTGCTTGGATGTTCAAAGATCTTGGACTGTATTTTGGCTTCCCTTTTGAAACTGCTCAGGCAAGCGTGTATTCACACAGACTCGTTAGGTTTATGATGTATATGTCATTCCTTGCTATCTCCGTGGCCTTGAGTAAATTCCTCTCCTAATCAAACTGTATGTGAAACTCCTTGCAGCCAGAGGCGGCTGAAGGTGTGTGTGTCTTCCTTTGTTTGGAGGCTTGCCAGAAATGTGGGAGCATTTGGGGAAAATTTGGAGCAATTAAAGGGTAATTTGAATTGCCAGCTGACTGCATTGCCTCTGTGCTGTGCCCTGGGTCATCACAGCATCTTTGAGACAACCATGACCTGGGTGATTGAGAATCTCCATAGATATTCACCTGCAGAATATTCAACTTACCTTGTGGTCCTTGATCTCCAACAGGCCCATCAATGCCTTTGCCAACGAGCCCTTTGTCTCCTTTCTCACCAGGGTCCCCTATAAAATTTAAATATAATTGATCCACCAGAAGGATGCTGTTTGTAAGCTGATTTGAGAAAGGCATCAGCTCCAATCTTTCACGAGTTTTAATGCACTACAAGTAGTCCTCGACGTACGGCCACAAGTGAACCCAAATTGTCTGTTCCTAAGTGAGACAGCTACGTGAGTTATACCCCATTTTACGACCTTTCTTGCCACAGTTGTTAAGTGAGTCACTGCAGTGGTTAAGTTAGTAACACCACGGTTAAGTGAACCTGGCTTCCCCGTTGACGCTGCTTGTCAGAAGTTCGCAAAAGGGGATCACGTGACCCCGGGACACCGCAACAGTCACAAATACATG